AGAGTATCGATACTTCTCTTACCTTTGGTATCGGTACCACATGAACAATATCGATATTGTTCATGTAGTATCGATACTGTAAGAACAGTATCGGTACTACGTACCCAGAAAAATAATTTTGTGCTTAAATTATAGTTTAATGGGCTTTGAATTATTTTTGAAAACTTTGAATAAATTCAATCAAGTCCAAAAACTTTTTTTTCATAATTTGTTATATCAAAATATTATAAAACATGGTTCAACAAATTTTATTGGAATAATAGAAACACTTTTATTTTTAATTTCGATTATTTGGGGTGTTGTATATATTAATTGGGATTTAATTCAATTGACATTGTTGTTAATGCACTATATAAAAGGACATAAATTAATATAATATGTTCATAATATATAAAAATATATATACTCGAGCATGTTTAAACATTAATTTTTTTGAGTAAAAGTAATTCTGAATAATTTAGATATTGTATTAAAAATAAGGGTAAACTTCGTTAGATACCATCGAACTTTAGGCGTTGTTAGGGATGAATATGGGTCGGGTTTAGATCGAGTTTTGGTCAATCTGATCAAATTTAAAAATTATACACTCGACCCAACTTTTTGAGATAAAATCCAAACTCGATCCAAAATAATATTTTTTAAAAAATAAAATATATTAATTTTATTCAATAAAAAATAGAAATTTAATTGGAAAAATAATATATTGAGGGGTCTTATTGCAATTATCCCCAAATATATAAGATATTTTTTGGGTCAGATCGGATATTTTTCACCCTAAACTCAAACCCGACCCGACCTGAACATAATCTCTAAACAACTCGATCCGAACCCGAATTCTTTTTCAAAAATCTAAACCGATAAGGTCTAAACCTGTCGGGTTCAAGTCTCATGCTCATCCTAGGTGTTTATCGTTTATTGCACTGAATTTTTAATTTTGTCAATTATAAGATTAAACTTTGATTTTCGTTTCAATTATAGTATTGAGCCATTAAATCATTAACATTTGGATCAAAACGATGTCGTTTTGGTGAGGTGTCTATAACAGCAACCATCAACTATGACATCGTGCCGTTAATGATTTTACGGTTCAATGATATAATTGAAACAAAAATCAAAATTCAATACGAAATGGAATTTTCTTGAATAATATGAAATGGAATTTTCATTTTCATTGTTTTTGTTATGTAATTGTAGGTTTCAGAGAGGTCTCAAGAGGAAGCCTATGGCTTTAATTAAGAAACTTCGAAAGGCGGTAATTTGTTATTGTCTTTGCTCTTTCAGATTCTAAAGTTGTTTTAGTATAATGAACATCATCTGATCTTTTGTTGTGTATGTTGCTGAATTCTCGTTGTAAATCTAGTTTTTGAGCATATTATCCCGATTCGAAATCATTTGTGTTTAATTGTTCTGTTTAAGCTAAACTATTATGCTCACATAATCTTTGCTCCGATGTATTATACCAGAAAAGGGAGGCTCCACCTGGTGAGAAGCCGGAACCGGTGAGAACCCACCTCCGGAATATGATCATTGTGCCTGAAATGATCGGTAGCATCATCGGTGTCTACAATGGGAAGACATTCAATCAGGTTGAAATCAAGCCTGAAATGATTAGTCACCTTGCCGAGTTCTCCATTTCATACTAGCCGGTTAAGCACGGTAGACCTGGTATCGGTGCTACTTACTCTTCAAGGTTCATTCCTCTGAAGTGAAGTTCTTTCCTGCAAGCTTGGATGCTTAATCTGGCGGTTAGTGTGAAGATATTTGAGGCTAAATTTTGTTTGGAAATGAGATTTGTTTACCCTTTTGGTTTCTATTTAGATAAATGAGGCATTGAGGTACCTTGGATGTTTGTTCTAAGTTTGATCGTAGTTGAAGATGTCAATGTCTTATCCGATATTCAAATTCGATTTTGTTGACATTTGTCAACCCGTCCAATGTTCCTTGAGCTTCCTCTCACCTTCCTGCAATGTTTTAGTTGTAGCCTTTCGACATCGGCAGCCATGATCTATTCCAATGCTGTTGAAAAACCGACACTTGTTTAAGCTTTTGTCGGTTCTTTAACGACATTATCAGCATGATGTGCTTAACAATTCCAAAATGATAAACAGAACCAACCTTGTAGCCAGGAGGGGGAATGGAATGGAAGGCCTTGTCATTCTCTCATTCATCTTGTGGTTCAAACCCTTGGTTTCGTTGACTTTGGCTGCGACTGTCGTTGAAACCCAATCGATCTTCCACTAGAACTAGATCACTTTCTTGTTAGTAGGATGTGGTGTAAAGAAGAAAATCTTAATTTTGAATTCGGTGATTTCTCTGTTCTTCCGGTTTAAGCTGAAAGTGCTGGACTCCTTCCGGAACGAAAAGGTTGTAAGATTTCTTAGAATCATTTCTTAGATGTTCTTTGCTTCTTTTATGTTTGTCTGCACCATCAATTTGAAGATTACTAGATATATTTTGTTGTCTCTACAGGCCATGTTCTCCTTTGAAAATTTTCTGATTTTTATACTCTTGTAATTTGTCTCTATTGACCATGTTCGAACATGAATATGTATGCGTCGATGATAGTCGAGGGTTCCGGCATCATAATGTTAACTTCCTTTGATATGCATGCAACATCATTTTGAACATGATATTCCAGCTCTTGTTGATGATGCATGTTAAGTACATATAGCTGGTATGCATGCACAATTGTTAGAAACATGATATTTGAGTACTCATGAGTGTCCGTTAATCGTGTCAGCAGAAAGGGCGAAAGGATCGGACCTTGTTGGAAGCAGTGGTGGGCCGAGGTGGCGCGGAATGCAAAAGAGTTATTTTCTCTGCCTCAAATCAAATACAGTAAATAAGAAGGTATTGCTACTCAGTCTTGGCTTTCATCTCAGCAATATGGTCATCCACCAATGCTGACTTGCAGGCCATTTAAGAATTACAAATTAACCAACAACAAATTCGTCTAGTGGGATGAGACACTAAATCCTTTAAACAAAGTCGGGGTTCGAATTCTGACGTTTGCGAATGGAGCAAACTGGGTTAAGAGGGTTGTCTTCGTCTCTGTAATACCCGATCAAGAGTAATCGGTCAATAAATCGGATACCAATGATTAATTCAAAAAAATTACAAATTAATATAATCTCTCATGTGTTTTAATCATATGTATAATCATATTCCATATGTGCTCTAATCATATGTATAATCATATTCCATTTGCATCCCATAATATGGACCGAGGGTGCAGAAGGCGGTTTAACTTCATAAATTTTTAAATTCTTATATAATTCAACTATTATATATATATATAATTAATCATCTAATTTCGTATCTTAAGGTTATAATTTTTTAAAAGTTTATATTTCTAATATAAAATATTATATCCGTCTGCGATTACTGAGACCTTTGGCTTAGAAAAAGATAAAAATAATATTTAAATAGTGAGAATTATATTCATAAAATAATATTTAATATAATATTAAATAGTGAGAATTATATTAAAGAGAGATTTGGGTGCCCCACAATGTTTCGGTTGTACATGTATATATATATAACGTGACCAATTTGCACAAATTATATAAAAATAAATTATCAGATCCAATAAATCGGTTCACTATTCATAAAATAAACAACTATTATACAAACCCCATCTCAAATACTAATAATAAAAATTATTTCGTTAATTTTAATATTTATAATAATTGATTTTGTAATGAGTTTGTTGAAACTAAATTAATTATAAAATTTAGTATTTATAATGTGTTATTCTCGTTAAACTTAAATTAGTTGTATAATTCAATATTTATAACAATTAATTTTAATTCTAATCATTACATTAATTAAGATTTTGTAATTTATGACATTAAAAAGTCTATTCATTTGTGATAATTTTTTTAATAGTCTAAAATTATTACATAATATTTATTAAGAATTTTTCTTAGTCAGTAACAACGTGCACATTCTACAGGTATAACTGTTTGAATCTGTAATTTTTATGAAAAAAACACTCTCATTAACAACTAAGGTCGTTTAATGAGTTCTATTCATTTATATAATCTTATTTTCACTAATTAAATTTTATTTCATTTTTTTTATTCAAATTTAGTTTAATTGACATTGTGGTTGATCGAACATGCTTAAGTATTTAGTACTCATCTATTTATATGTAAAGAGAAATCTAGATAATATAAATATTTTCAAAAAATTATAAAAATATTTAATATTTTATTTATCCCAAAATTGCCTTAAAAAATGCATTAATGGAAATTAATGAAATGCCCCATCAACATGCACATGGTAATGTTCCCAATCTCTCATGGCCTCCTAAATTTTTAATAAATTCCAACACAAATATATATACAGAAAATTCAATACAATAATCTAAAAATTATACATTTCAACGTGTTTAATATTTCATAGTATGTTTTTTTTTTCGAAATAAATTTTATAGTATGTTAAAAAGATTATGAATAATTTAGACAAATATAACAAAAAAAACACCATTAGAATTAAAACTAAGGGGGAAGAATAAAACACACAGACAACAAACTATGAAAAAACATGTGATAAATTATTAAAAAATTCTCCCCCCATTAGCAGTAAAAAAAGCCAGACAATTGAGTTCAAGTTCATTGGTTCTTGTTCATTACACAAATGTCCCAAATATTTGCGTGTCTGTATATTGCCAAAACATATATGAAAAACATCACATAAAATACACAGACACCATCCAGACAAGTTGCCCTAATTCCATGAACTTTAGTGCTTTAGGTTGCTCTTGCATTTCTCCATTGCTCTAATCATGAGCCCGATCGCTTCCGATCCCTTTATTATACGCAAACGCTTGCAAGAATCGACAAACATCTTGCAAAAAATTAGTTTAAACCTTAATCAACCACTTAACATAGGTACACGTACATATAGGGCCCAAGTTGAGGTAAACTGCTAGATGTACATGCATGAACATGGATATATATATATATATATATATATATATATATATATATATATATATATATATATATTATATATATATATATACTCCCATGGTACATCGCCCACGAGCATCCAGTCCATCCTTATCTTCATAGGTTGGCATATAGTCAGAACTGTTGAGAAGATCCATCAACTTGCTCTCGTTCATAAGTCTATCATCCTTGAGATCGTAATTCGCTTCTAAAAAAATATCGGTCAATGAATCAGATAATGACACGATGTGAAAATAGAATTATCATTATCGAATGTATGTAAAGTTTACCCATGGTGAAGGAACTGACATCTTGGCCAAGGCATCACATAAATTTTGGTAGCCGTTGTACAGCTTCAGATCCACCTTACGCAAAATGGTGCACCATCCATGCTGACCTTGACAAGGGCAGCAGCTTTCTGACATTCCTCGCTGTTGTTCTTCTGGTTGGCCATTATGCTCTTCCGATAAGACCGAACTGGTGGCCAACCGATACTGTGCCCTAAAAAACCAACCATTATATACTTATAAACATGGAAAAACAACATATGTTGATGTAAGAAATTGTGCGTGGTTTTATTTTTTGGACATACTTGGCTGGTGGTTTGCAGGATCTTTGGTGTATGAAGTTTCTTTTGAACCATTCCCTAGGTTCTGGTCCAGATCCATGCCGGAGAACCCTCTTTTCCCTGTCGTCTTTGGTGAACTCTCCACTTCATTTTCACCACCAGCGGCGGCGGCTCCTCCACCACCTCCACCGGGCAACCCTAGACACAGCTCGGTCACTTTGTAGTTCAAATCACGCTCGGTTCCTTGCATGGTGGCGATTTCTGTGACTATCTTATGTTTGTTAAGAAATAGAGAGAGAATTTAAGAAAAGAGAAACCCTCAAATATAAAAGACTGTGGGGTGAGGTTTGTATGGATGCATGTGTATGTCACATCATCATCCATGGATTGTCAACACGTGGAGGAAGATGGGACGTTGGATCTTTAACCAAAGTAGTTCATTATTCGTACCTATATCATAAAAAATATAAAATTTTCTTAATCATTAAAACCACTTAAAAGATTCACGATTAATTACTAAAACTTACCAGAGACTTAATCTAAGAAAGAATGGTCATGCCCACTAATTATTTTGATAACTCTTTTCAAATTGAACACTATCATCAGTAGGTATAATGAGAAGTCACAAAAGTTTAACTATCACATGCATTTAAGAAGCTTTTTTTTCCAATTTTTCTAGAGTTGTTGGGAGAAGCATATAATTAATGAAAGACCCAATTTAATTAATTATGCTAATTTGTATAATATGAAAGAACCTTCCATTATGTATAATCTCACATGAATCATAATTCATGGCATGAAATGAGACTAGGGATGGGCATGGGATCCGAACTCAACGGGTTCCGACTCGATCGGGGGTTATTTTTAAAAAAATTGGATCGGGAAGGTTTTTAAATATGATATTCGGGTCGGACGGGTCGAGTTTAGATTTAGGGTAAAATACCTGACCCGACTAAAAAAATTATAATTTTATTTATATTTAAAATAATTACAATAATGTTCTCTATATTTTTTTAATTAAGTCATTATTTTTTTTGAATAAAATATTTTTTTTATTATTTCGGATCAAATCGAGTTTTTAAGTTATATATCAAGTCGAGTTCGGATCAGAAGAAATCTTATTTTGATCGGATGGGTCTCAGGTGAAAGATTTCTTGATCTTAAGTCGGACCTGACCATGACCATCCAATTTTATTAAATACTACTAAAAGAGTTGATGAATTACTGACCAAAACAACCGAGAAAGGCCAAAGAAAAATCAAAATTTAGATCAATTGCAGCTAAAAGACAACTTTCTTGATTTGACGCCTGGCCAATTGCCTACCCCTCGGAATGGCAATTAATGACATATTGATGCAAAACTTGTCCTCTTAGTGAGAACAAAATACCATTTTTTTTAGTTATTTTTTAAGGTAAGTACTGATCAAATCAAGTTAAAAAAAATTATGTTAATCGAGTTAATAACTACCATTTATCGTTCAAATTTTATTTAAAATTTTTAGTTGAATCAATTTTATAAATCTGGGTTAAACTAATAATATAACTATTTGAGGGTAATTTTTATAGTCTAAGATGATTTTAAGTTAATATATGTTTAAAATATTCTTTTCGATTTAATCGTGGATGTCCGAACATCCATGAAATCATTGTGCTCGATCTTAGAATTTTAGGTCAAATTGGCCTAGCTTTGGGTCAACATCACTCATTCTTGAAGGCACTTGCTTTGAAGGCAATGTGGTGACTTAGGGACATGTCACATCCCTACGAGAAGGAAACAACCCTAACCCTAGTTGTGCACTTGCCTTGTCAATATCTTACCAACCCATCTCCTTGTTCCTTTCTAACCTATCTATATCTCATCTATTCATTTCAAATCCGTGTATGCTTATTGTGTTATTTTTTTTTGTTTGTCGATTAGATATTAACGTGATATAAATTATTAAATGTATTTTTAAATATATAAATGATATGTTTATAAATATATTGTACTAATCATACTTTACAACAACAACAACAACAAATTCTATTCCCATATGTAATGGGGTAAGGGGGAGGTAGGTTAGTAGGCTGCCCCCAATGCCAGGTTGAGAGCAGCTTCCGTAGAAGACCTCCGACAGTCAGAAAATTAAAAATAAAGATAAAATACAATGCATGTATAAATAAATAATACATAATTGAACAGTCTACATATGTAGTCATTCATATGCACCTCTGTAATGAGAAGTAATCCCTGCAAATAAATCACTGTATAAAAATCTCTGCATATAGACAGAAACGTAAGTCCCGACTAAATTTAAAAAGAGGAATTCTAATCATACTTTAATTATGTTTAAATGTGTTGAAGGGAATTACATAATAATATTTGTTCAAAGTGTCGTCCGTCACACAAGATAAGTAGATTTGAGTTTTTTTAATGAAAATTAATTTGTGGGTACAAGTATTTATTTACATTCTTAATATTAAAGTACGAAAAAAATTATGTTTAAAAATATTTAGACTCACTATCTCTAAAAAAATCCAATTAAAATTAAGTCTCAGTAAAATTGTGAAATTTCTATTATTAACAAAATTTTCATTAACTTTTGAGTAAATTATACACTTAATATCTTAACTATCATTTTGGTTCTATTTTGATCACTTAACTATCATTCTTAATATTTAGACTCCCGCTTTGCCGGTATGACATAAGTCCTTTGTGTTCCTCAGATACCTGTTTTGCTTTGAATCATATATTGTATAAATTCTTGCAGAGAGCTTGGAATTGGGATAGTGGCATATGTCCTCTTGGTAAGGGCTTTTTTGGAGGGAAGGCAGTTGTGGAACCTATGCCAATGGGAGCCAAAAGGTAATAGGACAAGCAACTTATTCTAGTAATGAGAAGAGCTTGTTCGACCTATCACTAGATTCACGACATTTTGAATCAGTGACACCTTGCTGAAGGATCAGTATTTCCAATGGATAGTCATAATGAGAAGACTCATCCGACAGAGGGAAGAAGTCATAATGAGAAGAGCTGTCGACCTATCACTCGATTCATACATTTCGAATCAGTGACACCTCGCTTGAGGGATCAACATTTCAGTGAAGAGTTCATAATGAGAAGAACTCATCAAACGAAGAAGAAGAAGTTCATAATGAGAGAACTTGTTCAACTTCGCATCAACATTTTCAATGGAGAGCTCATAATGAGAAGAACTCATCTAAAGGATAAGTTCATAATGAGAAGAACTTGTTCCTTCAAATCCATCACAGAAAGAGATGGGTCAACATTTTCAGTGAAGAGTTCATAATGAAAAACTCATCCAAAGAGGAAGAAGAAGTTCATAATGAGAAGAACTTGTTCAACCTTGGTTCGATTTCATCACAGAAGGAGGTGGATCAACATTTTCAGTGAAAGAGTTCATAATGAAAGAACTCATCCAACAAGAGAAGAAGTTCATAATGAGAAGAACTTGTTCAATCCAACGCTTTACAACGAGGATATCAAAATCAAACGCTAAATAAAAAAGGAAGATCGGACAAAAACTGGTTGTCTTTTTCATCTTTGCCCTATTCTTGTAACACAAGAATGTGCAAAGAGGGGCAGCTGTAGACACCCATTTTTTTACCTGGTTTAAAAAAATATTTATTATTTAATTAATATTTTGATGCATGCCACATACAGACCCGAGACTCTCCCCAGCATTTTCACGACATTCACCAACAAGCCGTAATCACGTGCACCATACTAGTAGTGACAAGATTCAAGGATATGGGCACCATCCTCAATTGGATTTATCTGCATGATGGAAGGCTAAAAAAAAATTGTTAGTGGAAGTTATAGACCCACGCAACTACATTCTACCTAAACCATCACCAAAGTCAGCAAATCCAACAAATCTCACCTAACCCATCAACATCTTACCAAAACGTAAGAAAAAAAAGGAAAGGAACAAGGGGATTCGGTGGGGATGGAAACCATAAAAGGAGAACCATAACATCAAGGGGGCAAAAAAAAAAAAAAAAAAAAAAAAAAAAAAAAAAATCAGTACAAGGGGGCTCAGTGATGAAAAAACAAGTGCAAAGAAAATTTAGAGAGATCGCTTGTAACAGTTTACTCGGCATCCATTGAAGAAAAGCATAATCGTTGTAATAGATAAATCTCATGCAAAAATAGAATACGAACAAAGTTTTCCTTTAAAGGTATATATCATTTTCTTTATTTATTGTTTTCTTTTATTTAAACCGAAATCAGCAGTAGAACCAGATGTTAATTAAGTGTCTTAACATTTTCTTTAAAGCAAGCAACCATATACGAAAATCATAAGCAAAATCCATAGATTTCAATATAAAAAAATATTAAGTAAAGAAAAGAGGGGGGAGATTTAAAAGAGGAATCAAACGATACCTTGGGGGCAGTCGACGTGAGCCTTTGTGGCTCTCGGTCGAGCCAGAAGTGAAGAGAGATGAACGGCGCATGGGGTGGAGAGTAGAGAAGAGGTATGCGGCTGAGAGTTTAGTTTACACATTAGGTTTAAATTTAGTTTTAGTTTAGGTTTTATATTAAAGCTTTAGGGCTTATAGGGTTAATGTTTTTAAGATCACTATAATTTCACCATGTGTTTACTTTAGTCACTAATAGATTTATTTTAGAAATAAGGTTTTTTTTATTGTCCTGATTTTGTCATTTTAATATTTGGGTATCAATTATAGTGTTGGGCTATTTAGTCTTCGAGTTTTTCATGATTTGTTTATAAGTTGTTTTAGTCCTAAATTCTAGTTTTATGTTTTAATTTGAGAGTCATATTTATGCGCATTTTAACTTGGTTCATGAATAAATGTTTGTATGGTTCCAATTTTGTCTCCACCCGAATTTAATTTCAATCCTAATTAGTAGTGTAATTAGTTTCTGTTTTTATACATTTGATTTTTAACTTTCTGCATGTTTCTTTTAGTCCTAATTTATTTATTTATAATTTTTATTAATATTCGAATTTAGATACTATATTAGTAAATAATTCATTTTAGTCAATATCTAGCATTAGGTTATTATTATTAATCCTTGTAATTTTCTGTTTATTTTATTTTAAGGTTTTTATTTTTGGATTATTTCACTTTTAGTATAGGTATTATAATATTTGATCTAAGAATTTGCAATAGATTGATTGATTTCAATAGTTTATGCGGTCCTTAAGCTTCAATAATTTTTTTATTATAGTTTATAATATTAGAATATTAAAAATAAGAGAAAAAAAATATGAATAAAATAATGTTAGATTTGATGATATTTGAGAATTGAAAATTATGCTTGCTGACAGTTCACATGCCATTATCTTCCAATTT